CCAGTTTTATTTAAGAAAGGACTTGTGTTGCTAAAGTTTCGTCGGAACGAAGTTACGGAAAATTAATTAACGACTGGAGGCGTAACAATATATTTTGAAAGTAATGGTTAATCCACATACAACATTGATTTATTATATATTTTGAAGTTTATTTTCTTTTACAATTCCATACAAAAGCACTTTAAATGGTTTATCGACATAAAATAACTTTTTCATTTACATATATATATATGTGTGTGTGTGTATATATAAATCAGTTTCGACTAGGCCAGCTGCATGATCAGGGTCAGAGCGCCAAGTTTTAGTAGTGGGTGGAGGCTAGATGGTGTCCTTTGATAGAAATAAAGGGCAGTATACGATATTAGTTTTCTATCTTTATGATTCTGAAGGATGAAAGTTGGGTAATGATGTTTTCAATAGCAATCGAGGGTTGTTGATTATATCAGATTTTTCTGCTTTTATGGGTAACTATCAGGCCACGGTGAGTGGTAGTGGGATCTGAAACATTGTGTGTTCTCGTAGCCAGACCCTAAGCTCTTATTGTATCTGTAATTTACTTTCTAGTTTTGCGTTTATTGTTTTGATTATATCTGATAGACAAACATCCCCAATGTTTTTGGGTGCTATAGCCGCAGACATTTTCACTTTAAAATGATATCATTTATACTTTTGTATATTTTTCTATTGCCTTGTTACAGCTTTGCTGTTCCGAACATATAATTGTTAGCGCGTATATTCGTAGTAAAACTTAAATACTTCTAAATGATTATCTCGTCAGGATTTTTCAGATTATTTTCCAAATAATCACCTGTACGCCTTTCATGTAATATAGAAAATTGTGGAATATATATACATATGCATATATTCTTCTTGAGAGAGAGAGATAGAAAAGGCAAAATCCCATAGATGTTTTGGATGGCGTTTTATTCAACATTTCTTCCTTGCCCATAAAGTGTGTTTCCTGCCATAATTGCCATTACAGATATAAGTAATTTAATAACATAAACCGAACTATTTTTGGACACCAAAGGACGCCCAGTTCATCAGAATGTTACAGCAAAATCGTAATGTCGTTTTTAAGGTTCATAACGTAGGTAAATTAATATGTAGAATTATACACGGAATGTATTTTAACGTAAAGACAATCCGTGTATGAAATCATTACTCATTGGATATACACTTATAATCTCATAGATATACTCTCTTCAATATTTGATTTTTTCTCTAAAACAGATTTGTATTTGGAACATAACTCAGGTCACTGTAAATCACTAATTTTCTAAAACGCTCGACAATTTTTTTCTATGAATTGGTTTGATGATGTAACTGCAAAACTGGATATTTTACTGTAGTTGGAAAATAAACTACTCTTCTCCAGGAGACAGAGTTTCATTCTATCACCCTTGACCTATATTTTCTATGAATTGGTGTGATGATGTAACTGCAAAACTGGATATTTTACTGTACTTGGGAAGTAAATTACTCTTCTCCAGGAGACAGTTTCTTTCTGTCAACCTTGACCTTTCGTTCTCATGATGTAATGCCGGTACACTACACAATAGTGTCTTTTCCTATGTTGTCACTGGTTGTTTTGTCGCTGGGGGTGCTCCCCATAGGTGATTAAGTGAATCCACTATCAGCTCCGACCTTGATAATTATCTGGAAGTAAACTAAATAAAAGCTTCAGGCTCTCCTGCAAGTTTGGGATTATCGATATGTGTGACCTTTGGCTTGGATCGCCTATCCTTCTGGATTCTGTAAAGAACATCATTGATTCTTTTCAGTAGAACATATGGCACTCCCAGCACCTGCTTAACTTTGGAGTTTGTCTTTTCTTACAGCGGGGATTGAATGGGCATACCATGTCATCTCAGTGAAATTCAGTTTAATCAGCATTAATATCATAACGACTTTTCATTTTATCACTACCTGATTTAAGAGTTTCTTGAATAAAGTCATATATATCATCGATG